CATGCCCTTGCCTGGGTCGCCGCGCGACAAACGTCGAGCGCGCTTGAGTGCGAGTTGCCCGCGAGGCGGTGGGGCCCGACGGGCAAGTTGTTCCCCAACGGTGGCTGGCACACACCACGGCGCCGGGAGTGCCGTCTGACGACCGCCGGCGGCTCGACCTCGTCGTGTACGGAGCGGCGCCACGGGGGGGTGCGATGTGCTGCGACGCAACCCTCGTCTCTGCCTTCACCCAGCCAGGGCAACCACACACGGGCACCGCTGACACCGACGGCGCGGCGCTCCGGGTCGCCGAGCGTCGCAAACACTCGGTTTACCCAGAACTCAGCCAGGCCGGGCCGCAGCAGCTCGTCGTGCTGGGTTCGGAGGTTGGAGGCCGCTGGAACACTGAAACCCAACGCTTCTTGCGCGACTTGCTCGAGTCCGGGCGCAACGAGCCCCGCCGGCCTTGCGCCCGGCGCGTGCGGGCTGGACTCGTCATTGGTGGGGCATGCTGAGAGCGTGGCCGTGCAACAGGCGGTCGCGAGTACGGCGCTAGGACGGGCTTGGCCCGCCCCGCTGCATCCCCACTAACGCGACGCTCCTCCACTCGAACGCGTGCGAGCTCGCAGCCCCGGCAGGGTCCAGCCGCTTGCCGCTTGCCGCTGCGCGCGTGAGCCCTCGCGCTTGGCGCGTGCTCGCGCAGCTGCAGCACAGTAGGGCTGTAGGCAGTTAGCCTGTCTCCTGGGAACAGCAGCCCGCTTTTGCAGTCGGAAATAAAAAAAGATTCTGCATCATTGGCAAGTGCGATGATTTGCTTATTTCGTGTGTGCTTGGCTACCGATGTGTTTGTTCATGGTTACCTTCGACAGCACACTTGTGACGCAAGTCGTTGTTGCTGCAGCCCTTATGCCTCGGTGTAGTTGTGTCAAATCGGACAATTTCACAACGCATCAGGTCAGCAACTTGGTGAGCGGTGGTTTGGGTGAAGGCGTGAGGTACAGGCTTTGCCTGGAACTTGCGCAGCCATGCTGCCACGCTAGTCGCTAGGAAGATAGGGATGCTTCACTCGCCAAGCTGTTGATGCTGGAATATCAACAGCTTGCCGTGGATGAGTGGCTTGCTTCGCCCGCTTCTCTTGCCATCCTTGGGCATGGCCTTGGCGTCCAGACATCTAGTTGCCTTGGGATTTTGTTGATCGTTTTTTGCCTTTTGACATTTTTTCACGTTTTGTGGTGCCGCCCGATAGCATGTTAAATGATTTTTTTACGAATGCTGAAAGGAAGATCTTGCTGGAAGCATTGCGCAGAGTGTTAGCTACAGCCCAGCTCGATCCAGAGCGCGCAAAACGCCCCATCATCGTGTTGAATACCGCGCAGGACCGAAGATCTGGAGTTTCAAGCATCGTGCATCCTGCTAAGACAATTCGCAACAAATGATTTGTTTGATACTGTTTGGGACATCGTGCCCGTTATCGCCCTTCCACTCAGATGCGAGAGGAGGAATCGGAACTGCTCGCCAAACGTGCCTCAGAAGATCCAAAGTGGACAGGCTCGGAGGTTGCATGCTGTGTGTTCTTATGGTCGCATGATGGTTTAGGGTTTAGGGAAGCACCTTGCGGATCATGCAGCGAGGATTACAAAACAAACTCTGCGTCATTGGATCTTCCCTGGGCGTGGACGGGCGTAAAGCTGCGCTTGCGCAGGGCGGCGCATTCATCGTGAATGCTCGGCTGCTTGTGACGGACTTGCTCGGAGATCGATTGCGACCGGAAAGCATCGAAGGAGTTTTTGTAAATCATGCTCATGATGTGGGCGAGCTGTCGGCCGATGCTTTCGTTCTTCGACTATTCCGGGTGGCTTGATTGCATGTGGACCGGCTTTTCAGACGTCCTTCTGTGTCGATCTGACTTACTGCGTCTTGTTCGGCATGAGCGCCGGCAACAGGTGGGCAACCAGAAAGGCTTTGTCAGAGCCATCTCGGATATGCCGGATAGATTGGTGCGTGGACAAGGTCAGCTGGAGAAAGTGATGCAGCGATGCTTTGTCAGCGACTTGGAAATTTGGCCCCGAGCCTCGGGTTTGCTTCTTCAAGGTTTTTCGTGAATTGTTGGTTGTTTTGTAGGGAACTCTGTGGCTGTATTTAGAATAGGAATGGCCCGATTTCCTCCCTGCACCGTGAGCTGGGATGACACAAGGAATCCGAAAGGATGTGCAACAATGCCTCCGGCACGAGGAATGGGAGCAGGATGTGCACCAGATCACATTGGAGCTGCCGCAGGATGTCAAAGACATCCAGGGCCACCTCCTCAACATCATGCAAAGCACGCTGTTTGGCCTTTCCGGAGAAGGGGTTGTTTTCTGGTTGCCCCCAAAGTCAAAAATTTTGTGCACCACTGGTACCTCACGCCCTGGACGTCAATCCGCTGAAGCTTAAAGCCTCCACTAGCTCAGGTTGCAGGAGCTCCAGAAGGATCCGAACCTGGACTTGGGACATTTGCAGGCAGTCAGAACCGTAAAACTTGCGCTTCTATATGAACTTAAAGCCCCACGCCGTGGGACGCCAAAAGGCCGTTTCGAGGCTTTTTTGGAGCCGTAACCCCGCAAGCAGCGCCTAAGCCCTAAGCCTCCCCCAGACTTAAACCGATTCCGTATTTTGAAGCCTTGCTTTTGTTTCACCCGATGTAGACGAAGCCCTTCAGAAGACGCCCTACTTCGAGATCCCCACGTAAAAAAATCCCAGAGCCAGGTGCGCGACTCGGTGTCTCCGGCCTTTGAAGCCGAGCTGCAGCAGGCCGGGAGGGGTTTCGGAGGGCCTCTGGTGAGGGGGTTCTCCATGAAAGTTTCGAGGTTTTTAGGGCTTCGGCTTTCTTGGGGTGTTTGGGCTTCAAAGTTTGGGTTTTTAGGGGGTTTCGGTGTCCGCAGCTCCCTCTGCGAGGTGTTGG